TAGTCACGGAGCGATTGTTATAGACTTTGGCAGTCAAGTTTACTGGAAGAAGGCACTGAAGAAATTTACGGTGAATTTCGACCTGCTAGTGTTTCCAGCGTATCTAACCTTATTGTTACTTCGTGAGCCATCGATTTTGAATGAGTTTTCTGTCGTCTGGCTTGCTGGCGTCGAAGTTTATTTAGGACTACAGCATGAGTTAGCCGCAATACGAATAAACAAGTGCAGAAATAATATATGTTAAGCTCGTGAGGGAACATGCCATTAGAAGAGAGACTGAAAGCCGAAACACACTGTTTGCATATCTTCCTTGAGTTGACCATTACAAACACTACTGTTCTTTCATTCCTGTTGCTAGTGCCATTGCTTTCTGTTTTTCTCCACTCTTTATTATCGCCTTTTTCCAGAAAGAGATTAGCTTCCTATATCTGTCCGTATAAGTAGCACGTACCACAGTGTTTATCATGATTGTATGACTCTCTACACGGTCAAAGTATGATTATATTGAATACCGACCACCAAAAATTAATCATATTTAATTAGTTTAGCTATGTCATGAATGGTCGTCTACTATTATGTATGCATCGCTAATTGTTATGTTGGAATCGCTTATACTTGTAAAACGAAGAACCATTGCAGTTTTCACAACGCGATGTAAGAACATCAACACTGGCACAAGTGAAGTTTTTTTTAACGCCCTAAACACGACAAAGACTCTAGTCGAAAATACACTTGTTACATATATTGACTGTACACCCATTTTGATTATTAATAAGGGTGAAATCACATATTTTTTTAAAAAAATACCCCGAGTTATAACGAATTACATTCTGCATGTTATGCTGAGCATAGTTCATGTGGATTCAATAAAGGAATATCGTATGCTGAACAAACATTACACTCAGATAAATCATTGTTATGCTGAATAATATATCATACTGGAAAACGAAAACAAAATACTACATTGTGTAGTTATCACATTGAATTAAAAATACAGAAGTAATATTGTACAAAAAATTACAATGAATGAAAGAATACAATTTTGCTTCTTAATTCCATCATAACACTTCCCCTTCTTTCTAATGGAATGCGAAGAAATGAGTTTTCTATGGAGAGGAGTCCATTTGAATGGTTTTTGTTCTTTTTTTTATTTCCAGTCACCTTGGCTGATCATGTGGTCGTATTTCAGCTTCCAGTTGGTTTTTTGTCTTCATTTTAGAGAAAAAAATTTAATTAACGTTCTGATTTCTATGTTCTGCTCCTTCGTTCAATGCATACACGATTCTCTCTCCCCTACGAAACAACGTTGGATCTTTATGTACACACGTCACATATAATGTGACTTTATTGACCTGAACTGTCTTAACACTACTCACATCTTCATTATAATAGAGTATTAAGACGTGTAGGTATACATGAAGGTTGAAGGATCCTTGTGTAAGATCTCGATCTGTATGGGTAATATTATGGTGATTTCTCTGCCTTTCATTACAAAAAATCAATGCAATTATTCAATTCACAATACGACTAAGTACATTTTACATTCCGACTTGTCAGTAAAAGTGCATGTGATTCATGTAGGCTCGGTTTGTCTCTAAAACATTTGAACGGGACATTGTTTCTGCATCATACTCGGACTGACATTGAATTATTGAAACAGTGGATATTTTTTTCGCATGTGACATTCACTCTGTCCGAACAAACACGATAGATATAATCGGATTCGTTGGATATTTGTATATAGCTATAACATATCGAAATTTGATGGCCGCTCAATCAATTTTCCAGCACTTTGTGTAAATTGTTCGTATTTAACGCTTTTGGCGAGATGGGATTCGTTCGCTTGTTTTCTTCGTTTGGTCTCAGCTTCCTGAGATAGGTATGGAGTTTTGAGTCAACGTCTAGTATGACCGCTTTCATCTTAGACAATCCTCATTTCTAACATAGCAGGTACCGAGCCTCACCCCGACTAGGGTGGTCGTCGTGTTTTGGGCGTTAATAAATCTTCACTTGTACCAGTCTTGATGTCTTTAAATCACGTTGTGAAAAATGCAGTTGTTCTTCGTTTTACAAGTATAAGTAATAAGCTATTCCGACCTAACAATTGGCGACGCATTCATAGTTGTTGTTAGTTAGCAACAATGTAGGAATTCTTACGTACGTGCATCAGTTCGAGTTGCCATACCACATTAGCACACAGATACAATTGTCGATTCAAATCCCATAGTGGTAGAGGTAGTAAAAGTATAAGCAGTAATCGAAAAGATTAGGGTTTGAAGATGTTATTCAAGGAGTATAATCGAGTGAAATAAATTCGGAAAGAGAAAAAAGGAATATGAAGAATTCAAAAGATTATAATTTGAGAGGACTCACCTGCTCCATTGCAAACAATTTTGAGCCATGTCATTCAAAGTTTCTAACCATCGGTTGCTATCGTCTCGCGGATCCCAACCAAGTAGTCCACACGTACCAACATGGCTCAGTCCACTTATCAGTGACTTCATGGGTTTGTGCCATGTTTTGGCCTAGCCGTCCCTAGCTTTCTCCTAACTTACTCGTACACCATAAAACATCGCACGTCGGGGCAGTCGGTGGTTGGGCGTAAGTAACACATGTCCCAGCCATCTCAGCTGATGAAGTTTCACTACCTTATCAATTGATTTGCCAGCCTTACCTAGTGTAGCGGTAAATAAATCCCCAAAATAAATAGCTCTGTAAGTTTTCGAAATTGGATGCTGACCACATGTTTTGGTGGACTCACCTAGCTGAAGGCGCTCGGTCTCACGTCCAGATCAGCAGACCACGCCGCCCTTGACTTCGGATGAGATTGCAGGCTCACACGATACGAACGAGACTACCGTCTCACGTTCCGGTCGCCGAGTACGGCTGCCCGTACGCTTCCGCGACTAGCTGCACAGTCAACAACCGATACGGTGTAGGATTATTCCTATACTACATGCATGCTACACTCTTCTTTTTTTTTGATTTTTTTTTCTGTATCCTGAGCCCACGCCTCCGACCATCCCCGTCTGGTACCGTCGACTTCAGTCAACTTTGGCGAAAGCTGGATTGGCCACTCATGCTCTTGTCAACGCACTCAGTCGATATATTGGTTTCGAATGCTTGGCATACGCTTGGTCTCGAACTTGGTCGTTTCTGGTCCCTTGGCTCAACGTGTTGTCGTCCTACGTCTGCAGCGTTTCAAGTCCTCATCCCTACGAACGCAATCTTCAGATTCGGGATACAAACCACTCTGGTGTGGCATGCCACCTAGAGCAACAAATACAACACACCGCCCCTGGTACCGTTCTCCGAAAAAGACCTTCGTTGGCAACTCGACGATCAAAGACCGCTTTTCTGTTCCGATAATTCTTCCGTCCTACAATCGCTCGTCAGCCGATCAGTCTCACGATTTAAACCGTTACTTATCGAAAGTGTAAACCCTTTCTAGCGGGGGGCTGCTGTAGTGACTCACTTCTATCACGAGAACACGACTTGTTTATTGAAAACAATTGTACCAGTGACTGTTTTAATGTGCTTTTGTTTAACTGTGCTAAAAAACATCCATTATTCACACACTTTGATTGTGACCTCGCGCGAATCCGGTTACGCTCTGTAGCCAAGTTTGTATCCCGGCACGATCTCGGTATCCTTTCGATACCACGAGATCTCCAGCGAATATATCTCGATTTGGTCCACAATAAAAAATTTTAAAAAATACAAAAAAACATTATAAAAATCCATTTTTTTAACGATATTACATGTATATGAGTTTATTTTCCATTTTTTTCGCCGGCATTGTGTTTTTACGCGCGTACGAGTGTATTTCGACGTGCACTCGCATTTTCTTCTTTCTTTTACAGGACGGTTGGAAAAGAACGATGAAGTTTACGAGGAGCCAAAATTTTCATTGTACATTTTCTTACTATATTGTACATCATGGTCCCCTATAGTAAGGAAAGACGACCAGACGCTGCTAAACCTAGAAAGCTATCAGAAGAGTGTTTACCAACGACAAAATTCGTTGAGTTTAAACTTCTGGCTGGCCACGTCTTAGGGTCATCACTACCCCACTAGGGGGGGAGTGATCTGTAGCGGTAAATAGATCCCCGAAATAAATAGCTCTGTAAGTTTTCGACATTGGATGCTGACCACATGTTTTAATGGACTCATCTAGCTGAAGGTGCTCGGTCATGCATTCGTACCAGATCACGTGTGGTAACGCTGTGCTCAACATCCACCGCAATCGCTAGCCAGATTAGATCAGAGAATTCCGATATATTGGTAATCGCCAAATACACTCTGCCGATCTCCTTGACTCTGTCTTTTGATTTCTCTTGGTGGGTAAGAATTATATTAGGTGTTGCTGGTGAAAGCGTTGTCAAACACTGAATACCTGTATCATCTTCATTGGTGAGCCTAACGTGATCTGGTACACCAAATCGTATACCATGGACTGGCCCATGCGGCAGTGGTCTTACTTTCGATTGTATCTACTTTAACTAATATATTCCTGTAATAGCGTCCTCTGTGTTGTACAGTCTTCAAAGCATCTATGGTACCTTGATACGTCGACGGGGTAGTCCACGTAAGGTGCTGACTATGAGGTGTGACTTCGACATTGGCTAGTTTGTCACATCATTCACGTCTAACTCGAGTAGGCCTCCAATCATTTCGACGTAGATCATCTACGTTGGCGATCTATATTCCTCTCTATTTCGCAAACACCGCCGCCACGAGAAAGACTTCCCTGGTAGTGGCTGTATACATGTGGCCAAATGAGAGCATTTCGAAAGGGAGAACTGACTCTCCCCACCCCAGAACGTACCAGGGTATTGGAAGGGTGTCAGATTTACATTAACAAAACTCGAAAGTGTAGCAATGTTTCAAAAACTGCGTTTCAGTGATAGTTCTCTTGCAGAATGTTAACAGAAAGCTATATGTAAACCCTTATATGCACAAACTGCAATTAGAAAGAGAAAAGAAAAAGCACTTGGGAATTACATACAAGACCACTCAATAATTTTACATTATACTGAAGGAAATACATTTATATATATGAGAAGTATGTTAATTGGACGCACGTTCCGATTCCATAAGCGCTTCCAATAACCGCAGACCAAATCTACACAGCAATTTCAACACAAGAGAAAAGGCGCAAAAAAGCTTTAAGATTAAGGTAAATACCGAAAGTAATACATATTTGTACCAACTGATGAGTCCTTTGTACATGATTGCGCTAATCAAGAATTCCAAATATAATACGTCCACTGGTGCTAAACTAGATCTACCTGCATTAAACAACCCAATTTCGAAAATCGATGGCTCACGAAGTAACAATAAGGTTAGATACGCTGGAAACACTAGCAGGTCGAAATTCACCGTAAATTTCTTCAGTGCCTTCTTCCAGTAAACTTGACTGCCAAAGTCTATAACAACCGCTCCGTGACTACCTCCTATGCCGTCGTCCCACCGGCATTATCCACGCTGTCATACACCCATTTCGCTCTGTCTTCAGCACCACCACCACCACCTTCACCCTAGGCTTCTACGCACCAGTCCCAAACTCTATCAACACACTCCGTACATCTCCTTCCTCGAACTCCAGTGGCCACGGAATCTTCATCCTGCGTAGTGACAGCGACACCGATTATTAAGTACGAAGACATGGGAAGGTGTGAACTAAATGCACTGTCTTTAATTACATACTGAATTCGTAAAATATAAAGACAATACATCCAACACACCATTTGCACATCTTCCTTCAGTTGACCTTTACAAACCCAATTGTGCCTCCATTCTTGTTGCTACTACCAGTGCTCTGTTTTTCTTTTTCTCCTCATCATTCTCCTCTTCTCCCAGCAAGGAATTAACTTCCCATAACTACCACATACTACCTATATCTGTCCGTATAAGTAGCACACACCACACTATATTTATTACGCTAACCATGACTTTCCTTTAAAATATTCCGAAGAAACGCTCATTCAATCCTGATTCGACAAAATGTTCCCAAGAGTTTACTCGGCTCTTAATGACATTTCGATGGGCATGATTCATTGTAAAATACGTCCAAACAATACATGTATGAAATATTAAAATGACTTTTAAACTACAAACCATGAGTTGTTAAGTATTGACTTAGTTTGTCGAAATGTTGATCCAGAGGCAAAACAAATCTCATATCATCACACCTATACACATACCATATTGGTCGAACAACTATCTTTCAACACTAACAAAAATTCGCTCCTATGATCCAGCTCTCAACGTCCAACAGAAATCGCAATTCTAAATATACTGTGAGTGCAATTACAAAAACATGACACATCATTACAGTTAACAATGTTTTCACCATATGTATACACTCATCCAAGTCTCTTCTACATATCCATTACTTGTCAGACTACTCACTTCTCCTATCAACTTTAAAGAAAACAAACGCAAACACAGTACGATACTCATCAAATATTCAAACAATCAACACCGTTAAATATACACAGTATGCCTTAAACTGGCATTTTCACACACAGGTTTAGACTAAACAGAGTATACAACACAAAATACACTGAATATAATATCGTTAAAACAAATGTGAACTATTCGGCAGACAAGAGACTCAAATAACATTTTCTCATAAACTAAGTGAATGATGAACAAATAGATGTGAGTAGAAAATGACAGACAAAGTTAGTTGTATAGATATAAATAAAATCATTGTTTCTTTCTATTCACAATCCACTTAGTAGAGGAAACTTCGAATTAACTGGATCCAAAATACCAACAAGGAAGTATAGTGTCCCAGCAAGACCTAAACACACAATATGAACACAAAAAACAAACTGTTACACTGAACTAACTATCACTTCAAAATAATAAATACAATTCAGTCAAACCGATAAATACTAGTCAACTTCCCACATAACAAACTGGAAATGAGAAGATCGAATAGTTTGTTGTTTTACGATGGAATAGTATTCATGACAAGGGAAGGAGGAGAATACACTGTAACGATGGCATCCATTATTCACTCTACTTAGAGACTACTCCTCACGAATGCACATCCACGACTCAAAACACGGAAACCGAAACCGGCCGTCATCCAACAGTGTGAATGATTTACTTCAACCAATTCAAAATGTCGCACAACCCTAATTATCCACTGTCTGTGGTGGACACCTGTCTCACACATGACTTCATTGTTAACACATAACATTTTACAATCCATCATACATCTACACTTCTCTTACAATGCACAAAGACTAGGACTAACAGTCAAACCTTAATTGATTGCGGAATCGACGACCTACATGTTAATTAACTCTAATTGGTTGTCACAGTTTGTCGTGCTTATTGTGTGTTCATAGTCTCTACATAACCATGTTATTTTATCACATATGGAAGATATTCATCCGCCTAGTCGTTTTCTCTCTGATTTATAATCACTTGGCGGCTTCCGTCGATAATACAGTCACGTTAGCAAACCACTCGGTCACACTCGCCATCATCGTGCCCATCCGTCGATTAGCATTCTATTGATTGATTTAACAGTCGAAAATTCGATCCAATCAAATCACTAACACTCTTCTCCATGACAAATTCACACGGCATGAATGGAACAGTGATACTTGATTACGTACTAGAAAACATTACGTACGGAGATGGAAAGTGGAAGTAGTCCCTTATTCAATCATTTCAAATGAAAATCCTAACAGATCAGAAAAGTGAGTAGTTTCAATTGAGCACCACACTACTAATTGCTAACAACTGGAAAACTCAACACAATTCTAGGTCTATTTCCATATATTCATTCTGTGTTCACACTCTCCAGATGTTCCGATATATCACCTATCCGCACATCGAAAATACATTGACCATTCACATTCCCATCAGTAGGCTACCATCACTCTAACAACTGGAAACGAGTCACTGTCAATTAACCGATGAAAAGATGTGACTTTTCTATCGCAATATCACTACTCAAAAGTAGACACATCAATGCGAAGTTAGTTTCTTCCACAACACTCCACAAACTCCTGGTGGGTACCATTTAAATGAGGACTAACGTGTAATATTAGTGTGAAACTATATTATCAACAAGGGGGATTAATCTTAGTTACAAATGGAAAAGCACACTAAACAAACCTTCCATAAGTGAGTACGGACGATCAGCAACGCGAGTAGCATTTTTAAAACAGTCGGTACACCATTCAGCGAACTGGAGAGCAAATGTAAAAACATTGAACAATCATAAGTTTCTTTTGATTTAAATTGTCTGGTTGACTATTCTAAAAGTCACATAAATCTTCGCAGATGGTTAAGACAGAAAAATATCATGTCAAATGAATATTACGTTCATCAACCTGATCATCGAAATGTTGACTAAACAATCACTCAAAGGTAACCGCTATTATGATTATGGAACCAGTTAAACAACTGATTTAACATCATAATGCATTAGTTCAATCGAAGCAGTCAGTTCAAATCAATGGGTCGATAAACAGTTCTTAATGACAAATAACTGACTGGCGACCAACTGCTCCAACGTCGAACACCTCGATGGGTTACGACCATTTAAATACAACACGAGCTGATGAAAAGATGTGAGACCTATGACAGGTAGTGTTCAACAGGGAAACGAGAACCTTGAAGACGGTAAATAAGAAATCCAGGCAAGGAACTCACTTTATTTGGACACAAACTAAACGGTACACATTGGGGAACCGGTATTTCCATATAATCCGGTGCAAATACAGCTAGCTTTACGTCTATCTAATGATTGGAAAACACAGTGACCACACGTACGTTCAGCCACAAACTACATCTAGGATACATATTTGTTATGACTGTAATACAGTTCTACATAAACTTAGAACAGTTCAATGGTTTTCAACCCCTGACTCAACAGATCATAACATAAATCATCTACCCACAACTATACACAAATAACCTAACAAAATACACTCATTCACACTATAAAATATAACAGTATCATAATTATGGAGTAACGTGAAAATACACCAGTACCTCACCAACTTACAATATCATTACAAACCAGAGTAAAGGTAAGTGAATTCAGACACCGTCCACTCAAAACATGTAATAGTGAACAGAAAAATGAGGATTTCAAGTGAAACACTACAATGTTGTACTTCAAACTATACACAATATACAGAACAAATATAATGACACATTGTAAAGTTTGTAATACACACATATTCAGAAAACAAAAGACAAAATGCATATACTTTAAATGCATTGAACTACCACTGTCACTGAACTGACACCAACCTTCATAGCTCTATACAAATATTTGGGATCTTGAGTTGTTTGATAAATCTCTAATAGAGCGAAACCACTACCAGCTGAACCGTGACATAGACCACAGCCTTTGTGAAGTAGACCACGAGTCCATACAGCTTCTCCTCCATCTAACGCACACTTCAAATATTTATTTTCACCTGTAATCTATAGAATGTAACAACACAGAGGTTAAATAACAGTAAACAAACTACCGATGAACTTTAAAAATCACACATATCTAAATAAATAAAAGGAGAATATTTTAAGTGCAGTTTGATTAGTTTCTAACTCCTATTTCGCCACTTCATAGACTCACTGATGGTTGATAGTAATAATCCTATTACAGATTGGACAAGAAATGTTTGTTCTCATAGCCTTGCTCAGAAAACTCTCGTCTAACAACGTTTCCACAAAACGTTTTGTCACGAGACAGTACATATAGGTTTTTATGCATAATGATTTATTTCGTGTATTAAGAGTACTTTCGAAAAATCCAGCATTTTATGTAAGACGCAATACTACCCGGTTATACGGTTCAAGATTGCCCCCAAATGTCCTGGTACGGCCGAGAGTAGGGAGAGTCCCCTCACCCTCTCGAAATGCTCTCACATGGCCACGCGTATATAGCCTCTGCCACACAAGTCCTACTCATTGCATTCTCACACCAGGGATGTTGTTTACGAAATTCAGAGGACGAAAAGCGAATATCCGGCGCTTTAACAGGGTTGGTAGACATGGAGAGTCCGTTTAGGGGAGTTGGGAAATGCTGATTCCAAACCAATGGTGCACATGGGCCCCAGTATCCTGAGGGGGAAAATGGCGTATGAACCAGTCGTTGGTCACCGGCTACCATGGGAATGCATCTCCTGACATTGATCCACCGCCTTGTGGATCAGACCTTTACATCGAAGGCTCTGGGTGTGGCCCCCTAAGAAAACTACCTGTTTCACTCTGGGCACCCGGGCAGTATCACAGCTCTCACAAATATCAAATGAAATTTGTGTGACGCATATGTATTTGGTAATAATAAATAAATATTCAAGATAAATGGCCTTCTTAGATAATCACTTAATCATGAGGCGAATAAGAAACGTCAGCACATGCATTCCGATAGCAAATGATGATTAGATTCAGTTTATATACTACTCATCTTGTTGAAATCATTGAGTTCATGTACACTACATATTGCGAATCCGATTTTCATACTTTTTTGAAAATGATAGTTATATATTTAAAGATCTAAAATTCCATTATTCATCTTTAAACAAAAAGTCGTTTGTTTTCATGTATTAGTTTTACAGGATGATAATAATACTGATAATAACCTTCTGTTAAGCATGTTGACAGTGAGGTTCAATAAACAAGGTTATTGAAAGAAAATTCTTTTAAAAACTAGGAACGTTTAATAATCGTTTGATTTTTAATGGCATAAGTATTCATCAAAAGATAGATAGGGAAACGTTCAGCTCAACATGATAAGATAAATGTTGAAATTGAGATTAAATGCAATGAGGATGATCATGGAAACAAAATGAACCAGTTGGGAGTAGAAAATTTAAGGGGAAGATGGAGGATGAAGCAGATGGCTGTAAAGGAAGAAGAGTGTGAAGAAAGAGAGAAATTAAAGATAAAAATAAAAATTAATAAAACATCAGGACCATGGTAGAAGAAGTTGTACCAGTCGTTTTTGGACACACAATTCTGGTTTTTGCAAATGTATGGCCAATGATTCGGCAATGTAAAGAAGATGCAGTCTAATTGTCTTTGGAAGACTTCTACATACCTTGTAGATGACTTTGAACACAGAGTCTGTCCTGATTAAGTGACCTGTGTTCACAAGTTTTTCAATTACTGAGCTTCTTATTAGGCCGCTTCCTCCTCTTTTTAGCCATGCCGGACAATGTTCTTGAATTCTTTTGGATAAGGTACGCATCGAACGACCTATATACCAAGCTCCACATGAGCAGGTGAACACTCGTAACAAGAATACGACGAATCTGTAGTCACGACGTCATAGAGGATGAATTTGGCCACCTGAAGGAGATACTTGTTAAAAACGGATGTCCTTCGATTTTCATTGATAAGAACATAAAGCCGAAAACACAGATAACTATAGTAGAGAAGAAAATTTTATACATCAACATCGAATTCAAGGGCGACAGAGAACACACACAATAATGAGGAGAATTTCCGATTCTTTAAAAATAGCATTCCCCGCAACAACATTGCGAATAGTATTCTCCAGCCGATCATTGTTCACCAATAATCTTAAAGATAAATTATCGCATCTGACCAACTCAATGTGCACTTTTTTATTGAGATCATGAACCGATTGGTGCTAGACCACCATTGAAAACCTAAAAGCACTGGACGGTTGTTTCGTCCTATTGTGGGACTCCTCAGCAGTACGCATCCATAATCCCGCTCGCGGGATCAGTGGAGCTAATTCGTGTCGGGTAGAAACAGGTGTCTGCCTCAGTACAATGGAAGATGGTCGCGCAACTTCGTGAATTGGTTGAGGTTAGGCATTAACACCATTGAATGCCGGCTCAGTGGTTCAATAAATTAAGCGTTCGCAAGCGAGACTGAAGGCCCTGGGTTCGAATCCCTCGAGCGGGACCATGGATGCGCACTGCTGAGTGGTCCCACAATAGGACGAAACAACCGTCCAGTGCTTCCAGGTTTTCGATGGTCGTCATGGTCACCCGGAGTAGACCGAAGGGCTTCAATGAGTTGTAAGGAGCCTAAAGAAGCCCAGTGCTTATAAGCGGGACGTTTCGCGAACCCACAACTGACTGTACCCGCCATTTTCATGGCGTCATGCAATTGCAACCAATGCTTATCTATACTTTTCGGTGGAGTGGTAGCTAGCCTAGAAGCTAGCTCTGTTCGATACTTACTTGCAACAGAAGTTGCAACCAGCTTGCTAATATTAGTCCGTTGATGGAGGCCACTTCGTTGACCACTGAAAAGTAAGGTAAGATTGGCGCAGACCAAAGCATGGTTAGAGTCCAAATAGGTACTCTAAAAGGAGCGGCAGTCTTGTACACAACCACGTCAGCGGTAGCTGGTCGCGATGTGATTAATCTGAGTCCAGGCTTGTGATGCAGAGGGAGGACGCCAGGTGGCACTTCGGCGATGACTGTGTCGAAAGTTAGTGCTAACCAGAAACAGGTTGTGGTGTGTGCACAGTTGCAGTAGACGGTCCCCGTTATCTGTCCTGCGACCAACAAGTCCCCATCGGCCACCTAAACGACTCTCTTCTGTGCCTAGACGCCCGACCTGAGCATTCCAGACTCCGGCTAGTACTACAATATCTGTCGAATGCACCTTCTGGAGAAGAACAGTTAACTAGTGGTAGAATTCATCCTTGATTGCATCCGGGCTGCAATCTGTCGGAGCATAGGTGGAGATGACGAAAAGACATCGTTTCTCACGCCGATTTTGTCTCACTTTGATGGAACTTTCTAATGTAACAGCACATAACCGACTGTTAATGAGGATCCAATCGATTAGTGTTGCCTCAGCTCTAGCGCTTAGTGCGACACCAAGCCATCAAGACCAGAGGAAGATGCCACAGGGTCCCCGGATAAACGTACGTAAAACAAGCTTTTTGAAGTGACAGATGGAGAGCAAATTTGTAGTACTTCACTAGTCTTCAATATGGGTTTCAGCTAGACAACAAACGTCGATATTAAGACTTTCGAAACACATAGCCAGCCCTATCTGTTGTCCGACCTGCATAAGTGTGCGAACGTTGAAGGCAGCCAGTTTGAATGATGCACATGGTTTCAGAAAAACTGCTTCAGTATTCGTATTTGGTGGTAGCATACTATTTTCAACCAGGCAGTGACTCGAGATCGTTTAGATATAACCGAGTTTTCACCATAGGCGAGCTGCTGTATAAGTCGAAAAATAAGGACACACAAAGTGGGAATAAAAGAGAGTGAATAAGTGACATGGTAAATAATAATAATAATGATAATAATAATAATAATAATAATAATAATAATAATAATGTGAGTCGTTTGACTGTTAATCGAAGCAAGACAAGTATTTTCCATAAATATAGACATTTCATCATATTTGTGTGTGGGCTGTGATACTGCCCGGGTGCCCAAACCGAAGCAGTTGGTTTTCTTAGGGGGCCGCACCCCGAGCCTTTGACCTAAAGGTTTGAAGCCGCAAGGCAGTGGAGCATCGTGAAAAGATGCAGTCCTATGGTAGCCGGTGACCAACGATTGGTTAATACGCCGTTTGTTCCCGCAGGATACTGGAACCCATGTGCACCATTATAGGTTACAGTAACTGAATTATGTGAATGAAATGGTTGCCTGAATTTCCTATCTCGAGTGTCAAGCGCTATAAATATGGAGGTACAAATTTTATGCAAACTAATGTATATCTCCTTTTGTATAGAGTACTCTGGGTAAATATTAAGTAAAGTTTGATTCTCAGAACAGTCATTGGTACTAGATAGACAGTATAGGCGGATTAATCAATACTCGGACTAGACTAATACAAATACACACAAGCTTCAACATAACTTGAGCATCTGCTTTTTTCATTATATCATAAGTCTCCTGTGGAAACCCATTAATCTGTTAAGTCAAACAAAATTTGATTCAAGCAAACCTATCCATGCAGGCGGCCACGCAACAGGTACTACTAAGAGATGGTTTATGATATATCCCACTTACTTAATTTCATGATATCGATCTAAATTTTACCTAGAATACTTGAATAAGCTCCAAACAGGATGAGTCAATGAGCAAAATCCTCAATGGAATTAAAAGATCCGGACTTATAGGAATTAAGGAAGTTGTATTTGCAATAGTTTTATACGTTTTAAAGTTAGCTGGGGTATAAAGCTAAATAAACTTCCTTAGTGCAATTGGGGTACCAGATTTACTTTATGTAAAAGGCACAGGACACATACTGCAAGCCGACTGAAATAATTCGTTTTTTTTTCAGACATCCAATCATTCACTTGAACTAAGGATCTAATTCGTGAAGTAGTAGGATAACGTCGGTGAATATATTCCCATAGGTATTTGGTTGTGTATAGGTCTATATTAAAGTATAATACGCAGAAGTATAACAGTTTTAAATGCATTCTAATCATGTATAGCATTTATTATGAATCTGATTTTCAGTGAAGCCGTCGATGTGTATAACTGAGGGGTTCCATACTGGGACGAGATAGCTAACTAATGCTTCTTGGTTTTAAATAGCTATCCTGTGAAGTGAACTACAAAACGATTGAATCATTTATTAAAATAATATTGCTAACCTACTTTATGAGCTGAGAGCATAAGTGGAATAACACCCGTTGCACCATGACACCAATGAACTAATACATCACGATTTAAGCTATCCCCTAAACTAGAAGGCCAATTTCCGCTGATTATCTGAAGTTGACTCATCCAATCAACAGTAGGTAGAATTAACTGGTTTAAGGAATGTGATGATATGCTACCAGGAAACAAACGATATACCTTTAGAGCAAAACATGATGGAAAATGATTAAACACGACTAATTTATTACAATGATCAAAGTATCAATTCATAACGAGATGGGTCATCATTTCCCATATTAACTCGAAAAAAATTTAAACAAGGGTTCTTTTTACCCTATTCTCTTTGTAAACGTGGTAGGTTTTAACAATGGTCAACTCGTTGATCAGATACAGATACATGTATTTGGCCTTGAGTCATACTCTAAATGAAGGCTAGTAACATTAGCTGGTTGCCTAAACTGAAATCTACAAAATCACTAAACAGTTGAATATAAACACAATAGACGACACAGTAGAAATGTAGATCAAAAAACACTGAAAGTTATATCCTTGTGACTATTTGTATACAAATAGTGAATAACAACCAACTAGACTAAACAATTAGATGACTGAAGTCTTTTACTATTTGAAAGATATTTCAGAACAAGTTCTACTATTGCTTCAGTTAACAAGTTATACAACTAACTCACAATATATTACGTTTCTAATTGTTTTACTCCCCTTTACGCTAAACGACCAGATCACCTGTTAAATAAGTAAATAATACGTGAGTAAAACATATAACTAGTATTGCTTAACGGTGGAAAATTTCCCATTTTCTTAATGAAGAGTATAACGAGCATGATAGATAGAAATACACACTGATGTAAACACTGTGCAAACTGGAAAAAATATACAGCCCTTCAAGCTGACTTAATTTATATCACTACATCATCGAGTGCTCGCTTAGTAATCAAGGTGATCAACTTTCAACCAGTAGGTTGTAAGTTCGGATTAGCAGTTCATCAACTATTCTTTCAGCTTAGTAGTATCACTAACACTCAAATAAGTGAGGCTAAAAGATGACTTCATTGACTAGTATGTGGTGAGTTGTACTGACACTATTGGTTTGAGCTATGTAGAAAGGTGTGTAGTTTTTTTCTAACAACCCATATAAATTGTAAACTATGGTTCCAGATGTAAAGTCAAAAAGGGAAAAACCGATGTCAGTGATGCAGTTGCATTTATTCTTTGTATTCCTACAAATATTAAGTCCGTAACTATTGATAAATTTTCGTTCTTCAAACTGTATTTCTATTTGAATTTCAGCTAGCAGTGGAATTCAGCATTCGCATTCTATCCTATTTGGAACTTATCAGCTGAAGTTTGAGATGCAAGTACATCCGACTGATGACTTCTGAATAGGATAAAACGAACCTACCGAACCGAATCCAAACACATTTAAACCTTGTAATGAAAAGACATTATCAACGATTCAGAATAGTACGGATGTATTTCAACAGATAATGATCGACTTCAATCTTGAAAATTAAACGACAGATGAACACACATTCATAAAAATGCATTTCGCATGTTCAACATCTCATCGCAATTATTGTTTGATCCTCCATTTTGCTATAAGCTAAGGTCTTAAGCTTGCCTGTCGTTTTCTCTCATTCAGACTCAAGATTGATGATAGAAAAGGTATGTATCAGCAGATTAGTAGGAGTTAAGACTGCTTCGACTTCAACTTCGACTTCAGCGAAGCTTCGCTAAATATCAATTAAAGTTTCACTCGTGATAAATCAAACCATCAGTAGTGAAAGTACTACAGAAAAAAAATGAATAAAGATGGACGAATGAACTGGAAGTAATGACAAACCCAGAATGACTCAATATTCAAGAATTATAAAAGTTTAAGAATCAATCCACCTGATTTATGAAAGAGATGATTATTCTTAGAATAAAAAATTCATCTTGATACTCGGTAAATCACACATATATGATTTACAATAAGATAGAGAAGTGTTAGCATTACTGAAACGATTTATAGTTGGGAATACGGGAACAATTTGCTTTTTGTAGGAACAGAAGCAAAATAGATAGAGCAATTGGTATCGAAATTCGAAAGTTGATAAAATGAAATATTAACGGGAATCAGTTGCAAACACGTTACTAAACATAGTAGCTTGGGATTAAGATGATATTAACGGAGTGGTTAAATTTTTAATACATCAATCCCAAAAAAATAAGTTACCCAAACGTCATTTTTTCCACAAAATCAGATTCTGTGGGTTACTAGAAGCCAATTCACTTTTGGGGCTTATTTTACGTTCATTAACAATCTTCCCATAAGCAGCTGAGTTATTCAATGATTTGTGTTACAAACCAACCAAAAAATATCATCATGTTTAAATAACTTACCTTCAGTAGAGTAGTCAAGATGCCAGCAAAACCATGTGCTCCACCAAGATAACATTTATCATGCCATTCGAACATCAACGGTGGCATGCACAAATCTCTTTTCGATGACTGATACATCAATCGATTATAAAAACCATTCGATTTGTAAGCACCAGCTGTTTTCTGACCAGACTTCAATATAGCATCTGTTATCTAAAGTAAAACTGTTATCATTAATGTTACTACTTTCATATCACGGAAGACACATAAATCCATAAATCAGATAGTGAAATGCCGCAACTTTATGCACAAACAATCACAAGAAATAATTCTTGAAGAGATGAGTAAAACAGTCAGTCAGTCAGTCAGTCAGCTACAACGTAGGACCAGGCACATTTATGCATCAGTCCAAGTTGTCATACCTCATTAACACAACAAGATGGACACCGGATTCATAAAAGTAGTTAATTCAGAGGTGGTAATATATAAAAGAAAGATTGCAATAAGGATATAGTACAGAAAGAAATAATTAGTTCGTAGAAAGAAAGATATGAAGCAATTTTAATCTCTTAGTTTAAGGGAAGATAGAGAGTGTATACACCGACGCCATTGTGATCGATTCTGAGCCATGTCACCAAGAGTCTCCAACCATTGGTTACGATAGTCACGCGGACCCCAACCAAGCAGTCTGCATCTACCAACATGGCTCAGACTAGAAGTTAGTGACTTCAAACACTGATGCTACGTTTTGGTTTGGCCGCCCTTAACTTTCTTCCAACCATCCCGAACACCGGTTAGCATTGCACATCGTGGTAACCGGTGTTCGGCCATACGTAACACGTGGCCGAACCATCTCAGTCGATGAAGATTCACAACCTCATCGACTGATTTACCATCATTCCCTAATACTCTGAGTCTAACCTCACTATTACTTACCCGGTGATCCCAGCAGACGCCAGCAATATTTCTGAGGCAGCTGTGGTCAAATACTAGTAGCTTACGAGTGTCTTCTACTCCTAATGACCATGTTTCGCTGCCGTAAACTAAAACAGAACGGACTGCTGCGCACTATACTCGTCCTTTTATTGATAGATGGATATCTCGCCTTCGCCATAGGTGACGTAAGTTGGCAAAAGCCAAGCGAGCTTTTCGAATCCGTACTGAAATTTCGTCAGACACCAACCCATTAGGGCTGATCAGACTTCTAAGATAAGTGAGGTTGTCGACGTGTTTGCAGTTCATGAGTCTTAGGCGTCTGATAATTATCGAGGTTAGTATTTTAGATACCATATTAGTTAAACTAATCCCAGTCAGATGGGATAACGTCTAACTCCCAGATCTTAGCTAAAGTATTAGTCAACCTAATCGATAAAATTGGACCACCATCCTTAAAGACCTGTGGAGCCAATCCATCTGGACCAACTGCTATTCTTCGTTTCAGATTAGCTATAGTCTTTTGAACTTCAGCTAGAGTTGGGGTACCTACTTCAATGTTCCATTCACACTGTCTGGGAATAGAGGGTAGTTGTAGAGTAGTTGAAGGCCAGCTGAACTGTTCTCTGAAATGTTCCGCCCATCGTTCTAAACATCTGGACTGAGAGCAGATGAGGGTGTCGTCATTTTCCGAAATAGTCCGACTTACACTTGACTTATTAATTCCAGTTTCTTTTATTAGTATGTAGAGCTGTCTTGTGTTCCCTATAGCCGCCGCCGTTTCCATCTCTTTTGCTTTCGCTGCTCACGGTCGTTCCACAGACTTTTGTTTATTCTATATCTGTCTTGTTTTTGCTCTTCATCGTGTTCAGAGCCTGATGGGATGAGTTTACGAGAATCCATCAGTGCAATAGACCTTGAAGAAATCCATTGGTTCTTTGTAACTCTGTGGTTTAAATCACTGATAGATGTCACTGCTGTTTCCACAGCTGTTCGCATATCTTTTCAAGCAACATTTGGGTCAACCTCGTTTTCAGAACTACCTAAGTGTGGCCTCAGTTGTTCCTGGAACCTACTTTTGGTTTTCTCGCTACTCAATTCAGTTCTAATGGGTCTATTTAGTGTGGCTTTTTTGCGTCTACTGAGTCTCAAGCAGATGTGTGACCGTGTTAGGGCATAGTTGGAGTCCAAGCAAGTACTCCAGAATGAGGAACAATCCTTCTACTGACCCTCTCCAACGATGACTGATGACAATATGGTCTATTTGAGTCCATCGTTGGTTTGGTGTAGGGGATCGCCAAGTTAGACGATGTCTCTCCTTATGCTTAAAGTTTGTTTGCTAAAAATAAACGATTGTCTGAACACAGTTGCAGCAGACGATCATCGCTATCTGTTCGTTGAGCCGGAATACTGAAGTACTCACCCAAATGACTTTCTGTTTGGTTTAAGCTACCTATCTGGGCATTAAAGTCACCTGCTACGAGTACCATGTCTGAACGTTTAGCTTTTTGAAGAAATTCAGATAGCTTTCTGTAAAATTCATCTTCCACATTATCTGAGCTGCAGTCGGTGGGAGAGTAGGCAGAAACAATAAAAAGGCAACGACGTGTGTCCCTATCCTTCCGAGTTCTCACGGAGCCGTTTAACCGAACAGCACATAGACGACTGTTAACGGGCATCCACTCTAACAGTGCTTGTTCCGCCCTCATGCTTAGTGCTATACACACACCTGCCAGTCCACGAGAACTGGCCGTCGGGTCACCAGATACACGGAGGGTGTATCTCGTTGGCTTTCCGTTTTGCCGAGGTGAGTCAAGTGAATGACCACATTGAGATCCTGTATGCGTGTTTCAGAGACACAGCATACATCAATGGTACGAGATTCTATGGTTCTAGCCAAGGAAGCCTGTTGACTGATTTGACATAGGGTGCGTACGTTGAAGGCTCCAATGTGTAGTTTGGAGCGAGGTTTCAGTAGACCTGGGACAGTGTTTTGAGCACTAGAATCGTTGGCTATGGTGATATTTGAGGAGGAAGCCGAAAAAAGAAGTTTAGAGGTGAAAGTCGATGTAGGAAGAATAATAGGAAGTGAAGACGGAGGTTGATTATGAATACAGTGGTCTTGAGTGTTGTTACAGGTATGAGGGCGGTTATCACTTCCCGGTTGCCCACACCGTGGAAGGGTAAAACGTTACAGTATGAGTCACTTGAATATTTTCATGGAACGTAAAACGGATGATTGTGCTTCAACGATTAGTATTGGTCATGAGAATCGGATTTATACCATGCATTGCAATAACTCGCCTGTGGTGTTGTGGACACAAACACATCATTGTAAGGCTTATTCAACTGAACCAGTTTCATAAACCGACAAATTATCTAGAACAACACTGGAGCAATAAACCTTTCCATTCACTTCTCCAGTAATTCACCTCTGCACAATCAAGCACAAACAATTCATTAATAAGCACTTCAAAAGCAGTAACAAATACACAAACACATACCGACGAGACAACAGAAACAGGGATGTCGAAATTATTTTCTCGAAGTGTTATCAAACAATTTAGATAGCCAGTACGTCCATATAACGCTTCATCAGGCATCCCACAGTCCACATCCAAGCCATATTTACTCGCTGACAAAATGTCTTCTACGAACTTCTTTGCCTCTGTATTCTCACTTCCATGCTTGATTGATGATAAAGCACCTAAACACAATGGACCGATCGGGCTAGTGTAAACACTGATATTTTTAGATAACTTCTTCAAGTCGATATGACGTAGACATCGATTTAACAACTTCTCAGTACATACAACACCATTTTCACGTATCTTTCTGTCTAATAATTCACATTTGCATTGTGATAGGAAATTGTAGAATAGTCCAACACCTACAAACAAATAGAAAGAAACACAAGTTGATCGAGTGGTTTGCATACTATTCACAAATTCTAAAGTACACGACTACATTTCTTACACCTCAATGTATAGACAACGTCTGTTTGTGGGTTTGAATGGTCCCGAATAAATTGCTAACGATATCAAAACAATGGGATACGACCAATCTGGAACACAATACTAACAACATTCAATGAAAGGTTTTACAAATGAACATCGTTAGTTCAACTACACTAACAACGATCAGTGACGGATTTCACTGGTCGACTCAGTGGTTCATACATTATATTTCTTTCACACTTAGTGTAGCTCATCAGTAGAAGTACAGAATATAAACAGGTGGATTTCTCCGAGAATCTGATTATGACTTGTTACTTCAAATTGAAGGGCATATACTGATACATTTATTCAAATGACATGACTAGATATGTGGTATATGAATCAACACTTGATCGAATTAGCCAGTCAGTCACTTGACTTTCAATGATCAATAAGTTGGAATAGATGTGGTGGAAGCACGTATATACTGATGTGACATGGTGGGCTACACCTAATGTCTTACAAAAATACAATACCTGTATGCGTAAACAAAGGAAAACATAGAATTCATTATACACACATAAAAGTCTTCACATTTCTGGTTAGTCATTTAATTCAATCTGAAACCATGGCTTAGTTCAAGTACATTAAGACACTGCAATGGGACATGTTACTAAGTTCAGACTGTCTGGTTCAGTCCGCGTGATTGTCTTGACCGATTGTTAGAGACTTTGGGTGACGTGGCTCAAAATCGTTCGCAAGGTCACTGGTGCATTCCGTTAGATATGAAATCTCTAAACTGTTTTACATATTTTCATTCTACAAATTCATATATTCTCGAATTGTACTTTCCACACCTAGTCTCTTCCATTACCACTAATACTGTTACTATATCTACCTTTCTGAGACATACCCTGACAGTCTCATTTCGCTGTTCTGATGGTATGTTTCAGCTTGAACCGATTCATAAATATGTCAGCTTCGACGTTGCATATGACTGATTCACTGACTGAGGATGACTAAAACACACAACACTCACCTGACAAGCCCGTGTACATTGATACGTCAGACGACGATAACTTCTCGAAATTCGAATTCAGAACATTTAACAGTTCGACAATTTTGTTTGGGATGTTTGTATCTCCCACCTGGAACGTGGTGCACAAGTAAATACTGAAAGTACTTTAAGCTGGTCTCCAGGCATATAATCCTGGTAAGGATTTTTAAAATGGCGACCATCGTTAACCTCAACCATCTTCTATACGCGTTTGGATTTTACTCACGGATGGATCCTTGAGAGGATAGAGTTAAGTTGAATTTTTCGAGATTAGATTGAAATCTTCTGTGCTAAATGCTGGAATCTTAAAACAATGACAGGTAGATTTAATGGGAGAGTAACAATATAAATACCAACTAATATCAGAATCAGACAAAGAGGGCGAACTGTTACACAAGATCATTAAACATTTGGTACGGCTTTATCAGATATCGATAAAAAATGATTTATATATATATATATATATATTTCCAGATATCTGGAAAAGTGTGAGCCAGTTAAGTATACTTAACTGGTACCAAGCCTACGTAGGCCTCAAGTATGGAGACGACGTCGAGCAATCCCAAAAATGACCGCGAAACCTTAGTCACCTACCCTGCTCAAAATAGGATTACCAGTTAATGTTGGTTATTTAAATTAAGCCGCTGTTAGGAGTCAGGATAAGAAATTACGCGGTAAAGCTGTACGAACTACCTTGAGATCATACCCAAAATGACCAATCAGGAGACAGAGAAGATAAATGGGTTATTTAATACGCTAATCTGTCAGACTTCCACTTAAAAGACTCTTGGGGGGTTTGTTCATCACCCAGTATCATTCCAGTGGGTTAATTTAGGTTGACTGAGCTCTTTCCATTCCCTTCATGGTGTTCAGTCAGTCTTCAGTAATAAGGATAGTAGTTTGGTGAACCTGTATTAATCCTGACACATTGCTTTCCAGTGAAGGTCCAGCTTCTCCTTGAAAATATTCACTGATAAGGCTGATACCACTTGTTCGGGTAAGGCGTTCCAACCATTGACTACTCGATGAGAAGAACGGAACCCATTTTAAGTTTATTAGATCGTGGTTTATGAACCTTCTTGCTATGATCTCGGAGATTATTAGTGCTGGATGGAACAAAAAGATAAGACATATTGACACCCAAATCATAATTAAAGATATGAAATGCCAGTATAAGGTTAACTCGTGTCCTACGATACGACAAGGGGAAAAGGTTTAGGCGTTTTAAACGCTCATCGTTAGGGAGTTTAGAAAGACTTTTCATTAATTTTGTTCCTACACGCTGAACATGCTCAAGGGAGTTAGTATCCTTTACCAGACACAGGCTAGCTGCTTGGATACAGTACTCTAAATGTGGTCTTACGTAGGTGGGATATAAAATTCGGAACAATTCCTCGTCAAAAGATTTGAACGCTCGGCGAAGTTACCATAACGCACGAAAACCTTTGATAGCGGCTGCTTTGCAATGCGTGGTTGTTTTTAAATCATGACTTATTACTACTCCTAAGTCTTTATGTTCTTGAGCACATGGAAGAGGTTTTCCCTCAATAGTATAACGGTAACTACTATTGCATTAGCACACTCTTCTGAGCATTGATTTCTAAGCCCCACTCTCAAGTCCATCTAATTAAATTGTTTAAGTCAGCTTGAAGATCCAAATGATCAGCCGCACTTTTTATTGTTCTCCAGATTTTTACATCCTCCGCAAACAATAATGTCGACGACCTAAGTAACAGCGGTAACTCATCAACGTAGAGAAGGAAGAGCAGAGGGCCTAAGATGGTGCCTTGGGGTACACCACTTTTGACCGGCTTCCAATCGGATGGCGTCCGTTGACCCTCACTCTCTGTCTGCGGTCACATAAGAAGTTTCCTATCCACTCACTATTATTCGGAAGCTCGTGAGCTTCTGCATAAGACCTACGTGTGAAACATTGTTCCAAGTCTTTCTAATACCCAGAATATAATATATTTGTGACAAGCATGTACAGAGCGAACGAGCTTTTTTCATTTCCTTCTTGTTGTCGTGGCATAATTCCAGGTATTCGGTAACGTTCAATGGGTGGTAGTCTAGCCACTCAGCTGCACTGATTTTAGTCATTTTGATAGTTATTTGTGGATTTGTATACCTTGTAGTCCGAATGCATGTGTTTGTCTTCCTGCAATATGGTCTTTGAATGCCAGAAAATATCACCTGAACAAGCAGGAGGATGGTTGTTTACAATGCGAAAAGCAATAAAGTGAAAATTCTAATGCTAAGAAAAGACGAACGTCTCAAGAACAAAACAAGCAAATTAATTAATTAATTAGTTAATTGGCGATTCAGACAGAGTTAAGAGGCAGATTTCTAAGTATTAAAAAGGGGAAACGAAAATAATAAGCATGGGTTAGTGTTTGATGATAATTGTAGATAATTTACTAGACATGCATCAGGCACAGCTAGTTTAAGGTGGAGACAGTAATCAGTGGGTGAGCACGTGTGTTTCAACTCTCATCTCCACAGAAAGGGTCGTTGTCGACTCGACTTAGAGAGGATTCCAAAATGAAGTAAATGTGAATGACAAAGAGTGGGAGCGTACTTTGTCGTCGGTTCTTTGACTTAATTTTCCAGGGGTTACCTCGAAGCATGTGATGGTGATGATTCGGTAGAATGCTCGTTTTAGGTCGTAGTAGTTAATATGTTGTATTGCATCATCAAGTAACCTCCTATCCTCCTGTATCACCTCGAGAATAGGTCCAAGTGTGTTTTTATAAAATTTATCACTAGCCCAGTCACACACTTGATTCTCGTCTGTGTACTTTTTCTAGGAGTTTTACGTTTATTTTGTATTGGTGTGCGCGAAAACGGTGTGGACTTCACTGGGAGGTCGTGATTAGGTATCAATCGGTGTCAGGAACAATTCGGAGGTAGTCGTTTTAATTTGCCTCCGCATCAAATGAAGAGCTGAGTTCGCCTTCGTTCCAACTGCCATGCAGTTTGAGCCGGTGTCTAAGATCTCTTCTTACTAGTCCGGGTTGTGATCTGAGTAGAAAATATCGAGCAAAGTTTCATGAAGGATATAAGTTCTTTGTATAAAATGGAGCCAAAATTTTCTTGACACAACACTCTGGCATACGTTGTATTAACCCATTTTGTACACCACATTCATATATTGTCTCCAGATAATTTGGAATCTGAAATGAATTCTTTTCGTTCTCTGTGAGCCTTCAGATCCTCTCATAGCCCGTATAGACTAACGCAGCTAAGTTTGTTTTATCTAGAAGGTCATTAATAAATGTCAGGCACATAATTGGATCTAAGAATTTTACTTAAGAAACTACAGAAGTCTAGACCGTTCGAGCCGAGTGGACTTTATTTATCTTGGTACGAATCATCTTATCACTTAGGTTGTTAACAAGTCAAGATAGAAGTGAGTCAGTGAAATCCATCTTCGCCATGAAGAGTACGTGCGGCACCGCGTCGAGCCTTTCTGAAAATTCTGGGAATAGAGAGAGAGTAGTTAAACAAGTGGACTGACGAGAGTACTAGCGATGCCAGTTTTAATCGAGAAGAGAGGGTTGGATTAGCCAAGTTACTAGCAGAGACATGGGTCTCTCAGTTGGTTCCTCTTTCTTTCGTTTTAGTCGACGGCTGAGATAAAGGGGTTCAGATGGTCGAAAACGTGACATGAAACCCAGCCTTCGTTCTGGTGTCTTTAGCTGCTTAAATGTTTTTTCTACCAGTATTATATCTACTGGTCAAGTCTACGCTCGAAAAGAAGTATGTACGCTACTTTGTTGTCCTTGTAAATCATGACTGTTGTTTCACTTGGCATGGTGTATCTTTTGATTTTAGGTTTTCATTGCAGTCTTTGATGCCCCAATTAATTTAAATATAATTACCTAGACTACGTTTGCTGTTAATTTTATTCTTAATAGCTACATAAAATGTCTCTTTACTTATCATTTTAGAATAGTAATGACATTTTAGCACCTACTGTCAACTTCAATATGATTTAACGATGATGCTTGTAAATTATGGCTTATTTAACTTCGTGTTGTCATCCAGATTAATCATATTAGTATAACGTGAAAATAAATGTCGAATGCGAGATGTCACTAGGACACGTATATTCCAGATATTCATGTAAGGAGCTAGGTCCAATGAGTGAATAATAAAATTGAATAAATTCAGATACGAGGAGTTGAACATGATAACTCAACGAATAATGAATCAATCACTCCTTACACAAAAGTATGAACTACAGATGACCAACTGAATTTTAAATGCCCAAAGCATAAGACAGTACAAATAAACATTAATTACAATGAACGGTGAATAGTTAATTGGTGTGCATTTATGGAATTAAGTGAGGAGTAACATGGATAGATATGCTGGCATCTCATATGGGTTATCCTGAAACGAAATCTCATAGCCCTAAATATGGTTAGTTTAACTTTCCTAACCCTAATGCTCCTAGCTATAGCACTCGTAGCTCCAAATATTCTCGATCCTAAGCGCTTAAAACAACCTCATCTCTAGACTGCGTGTCTTCACTATATCATTTCTTGACTACAGCTGAGTAATATCTTTCAAATCGGCAGTTCAAAATTCTGTGAGAAACCTACTACCATTACGCCAACTAAATTAACCAAAACACGAATTCGCTTCGAAAACACGATATCCCGTACAAAGATATTATCCGCGATGTAGTAAGTGCTCTCATGCATACATAATTATAGCCCGGTTCAGAAGTCTCCTTGATGATTTTCTTTCCGAAGGTGAATTGTGTCATCCATTGAATTTCAATGTGTTTAACAATGATTTACACAAAGAAGGTCTATTATCTATCTGATTGACCGAAAAGCAAAGTATAACCTTTGAAACTTTTTCGTCTGTTTTCTTTGCTTTCTATTCATCATATTATCTGGAGTTTGCTTATGTTCGTATTTATGATTATTATTATTTTTATTATCATCATGATTGGCCTCTCGACACATTAGACATTCCTCTCGCCCCTTCTTTTCCCTTTAGATATATTTTATTCCTACGCATTAAAAGTCTATAGCTAAAAACAAATTAATTTCTCAGATTCATCTTATCTTCACCACACATAAATAACACATAGAAATTGATATTTGATTATCCTTTGCGATTAATTGTGACTTTCATAACATTATTCCAACTTATTATTGCATAAAAGTTTATACTAATATCAAGTTTTGCTATGAATCCTATTACATTAATTAGCATATGTCCACCCGAGTGCAATAAGAAGTTAAAATATGGTTTACTTTAGAGGTCGATATTCATAACATTCTTATAATCTTGGTTGAACCCCGTCACTAGGTGTTCATTTCTTTTCTCCATCACACTTTTCCTTCCAAATAAATATTATTCTTAAGTATCTGAAGTTTGTAACTAAGCTGACATCATGTGTTACACACAAGTAAATTGCCTTTTCAGGTTCGTCTTATTTTCACTATGTCTATATGACTCGTACACTATGATATTTGATTATACTTTGCAATTAATTTAGACTTTTATAGCATCACCCCAAAATGTTACTGTACAATCACTTATTCTACCGTCACATCTTGCTGCAATAATATGTTATTTCCTTATTTATTTTTAAACCTTTTTTGTTATTCATTTAGCGATACATACATAATCGTCTATGCATGTTCTGTGCTCACAAGCATGT